TAGTATTTATACTAATTACTATAATAGTATATATTAGTGTATAAAAAATTATATTAGTAATTAGTGTAAAATATAATTAATTATAATATAGTAATTAGTAATATATAATATAGTTATACTAATATAACTAATATACTTTATTATAAGTAATATAATTTATTATAACTTATATTATACTAATATAACTAATATAATTTAGTATAGTTTATTATAAGTAATATAATTTGTTACTTATAATTTAGTATACTTTATTATAACTTATAATATAATTTAGTATACTTTATTATAACTTATTATAAGTAATATAATTTAGTATAGTTTATTATAACTTAGTATAGTTTATTAAAATTTAGTATAGTTTATTATAACTTAGTATATAATTTGTTACTTATACTATAGTTTATTATAACTTATAATGCACGTAATATAAGTAATATATTATAATATAGTTTATTATAGTTTAATTACTTATAATATATAATATAGTTTATTATAATATAAGTAATATAACTTATAATAAGGTTTATTGATTATTTTGTAAAATTATTAATATACAGTGTAATATATTGTAGATGTCGGTCGAAGATTTTGGAGGAGACGGTCTTAATTACCGACCTTGTTTCACAACAACTAATCTATTTGATAGTGTTGACGAAGCTGTTGAATGGGCAAAAGATATTGCAATCATATGGGGTTTCACATTGGTCATCTCGAGACACGAAAAAGAAGGAAAGAATAGGTTGTTGAGGTGTGATCGGGGGGAACGTTACAGAAGCCGTGTAGGAAAGGTAGTTAATGCTATTACGAGAAAATCGAAAACTAAATCGACCAACTGCCTTTTTCAGTTAAGAGTCAAATTTGATTCTCAATCAAAAAAATGGTATATCTCGGTTCCTTTAGATAATGAGAAAGGATTTCATAATCATGCGTTGGCTGTTAATCCCGAGGGTCATCGACAGATGAGCGGGCTTAGCGGTCCGTCCAAAAAGATTGTCCGTGATATGAGTTCTGCTCAGGCAAGACCGGCATCAATTTTGGCTGCGATTCAGGAGCAAAACCCTGTAGACAACGCTACTTGTAAACAAGTGTACAATTATAGATCTAAAGTGCGGAAAGATGATTTGCAGGGTAGAAATGTGGCTGCCCAACTTCTGAATTTGGCTAAGGCCAACAACTATATATATTACGTAGATGTTTATCCGGACACACAGGCATTGACACGTGTCTTCATGTCGCATCCTCAATCAGCCTGTCTGTTCCGGACATATTACTGGTATGTCGGTATAGACTCCACGTACAAAACCAACAGGTATGTTATGTTACTTTACAAATATCAATTTAATGCGAATATTGTTAGTATGTTTGAATAGGTTTTTTGATTCTATGTTGCTTTCATTTTTACAGGTACAAGATGCCATTGGTGGAAATGATTGGAATGACGCTGTAGCGCCCCATTTGTTCCGGATTATTTTAAAAATTATTATTTATTTTTATTTGTCCGAATAAATTTATTTATTTTGTCTGTGCTCGTAATTGCCATAATTGTTTATTGTTACAGATAAATAACTAATGTATGTAATTAATTGCCTAAATATGTATCTGTATTATTATTATTATTATTATTATTATTATTATTATTATTAAATAAGTATTTTGTGTATTATGTATTAGTCGGATTTAATTTTCACCGCGTTGAACCGAACCTCGAATAATTTTAGAGTTGAGCCCGAGAGAACCGGCCGACTTCGATTATTTTCCGTAGCTATTTTGAGATCATTTTCTCTAGCCTATTTGATAAATATTTTTGGCCAAGCCTAAAACAGATATAATTTTATTTGTTCCTTTTTATTAAAATCGCCAAACCGAGTCTAGAATTTATTATATCTGATTAATATTATATGTTAAATTGAATTGCGCGAACCAGTCCAAATTATCTGTTCAATTTCGAGGAGACCGAGTCCAAAATAGATAAAACTTATCTGCTCAATTTGAAATTCACGACCGAGTCTCAAGGAGAGTTCTGCTCCCAAATTCGCACGTTCACCTCCCTTCCACCCTCTATATCCACGGCTTGTAGCTTTCTCCCACGCAGTGAAAATCTCAAAATAACTTCCCTCATCTTGTTTGAGCACATCACCTTCGTCTTCTTCATCCTCCACACATCTCGCCGCTCACCCCCACGACCGCTGCAACTTCCGGCGCAGCAAGCAAAGGCCGCGAGCAGACCACCTCCGCCCACCATCATCCCCTCGTCGCTGCAACTTCCGGCAACCTCAGCAGCAACGCCGGCGACTTCCATTCGCACAGCAGGCCCTCCGCGGCAACCTCCGTGCCCGTCACCGCCGCAGCACCCATTTCCGGCGAGAACCAATAAACTCAACCTCCCGCCGTGCAACTCCTCCACGTCGCCACTTCCGGCGAGCGGTCGTCACGACCAGCTCTCTCGCCGGCGAATTCTTCTCCACGACCAATGAGCTCACCTTCTTCGATGAGAACAACACCATGAGCAGGCCATTTCCGGCGAGCCCGTCTCAGCAGCCCCAACCTCCGTTCGAGCAGCTCCTCGGCTTCCCATCTTCCGGCGACTTCTACCGGCGAGCTGCTGCTGGCGTGAAGCTAACGTGCGGCCACTTTCGGTCCCTTTTTCGTTATCTCAAGTTTCATTCACGAGCCGATTCCCGACCCGTCGTTTGGCCCATTTTTCCTCCGCTAGCTCGTGAATTTTTAAAAGCGGGTAACTTATTCAAATCCTCTCGTTATTCCGGTCGTGCTCGTATATTACATGATAGATAAATTTATCATATGTGTTGTCGAATATTTGTTTGAAATCGGATTTGATTAGAATTGTTACCGGCTTGTTTATATCGTTTCGTTATCGGGTTATGCTCGTGACTTCGTTAAACCGAATATCATGTTGTTGTTGTGTTGAATCTCAAAATGCTCGTTTATTTGCTGTCGAGAAAGTACGTTGATCGTTATCGAGCTTAGAGCGTTTATCTTATAAGTCATTGATATTTCATGTGAAATCACGTTAATCGATGATCTGTTGTGCCGTAATTTAAGCCATTTGAGACTGGTTATTTGAAATTGTGGTCTCCATATGAAATGTAGTATGTTCAGTTTTCTAAACCTGGGATTTGGAATTTCTCGATTCCGAGTTATATCGAATAAGTTGCGAGTTTACAAAAATGTTGCGCGTCCAGTTTTCCTGTTACCCGGCAGCATGTCTATAATTAAAATACGGTCTGTTTATTGTGTCGTAATGTGCTCGTATAAATTTACACTCTTCATGAAAGTTATAGGTATGTTTCTTGCCTTTAAAATGAGATAAATTTCATGTCGATACGTGGTCTGTAGCTCAGGTTGCGCTCATATAAAGTTAGACGTGCATGAGTTGGGACTTATTACTTTGGCAGACATCTGATATGGAATGTGAACTGATTTTACCCTATCAAAATGATTTTAAATGCTTCTGTGTTCTAAATAAAAGTTGTAGAGGCATGCTTAAGGTTTAATTTGAGACTTGAACCATGTCATTGGGAGGTCTGTAGCTCGTTCTAGGTTGTAAACACTGAAGTGCTGTCTATATCACATGTGAGTTTTTGACAGATTTGTTGAACCAAATGTTTTGTGTTTAAACTCATTGAAAACGTATTTATTTGCCAAAGTAACCTTCATCAAAGTTGTAGATATTTGAGATAGCTATCACACGGTTTTGGAATGTTATTAAAAACATGCCTGTAGCTCCAGTTAGAGAGTAATTACTGAGGGCTGGTCAAGTGCATTACCCCAGTTTTGGACTGTGACTCATTTTTGAATGTTTGTTGATTTATCACCTGCTAAATGGCCTTATTTGCTTTCGGTGTCTTCATAAGAATTGTAGATTCATGTCTTAGGATTCCAATGCAACTTGATCCATGATCACATGAGTTGTATGTTGAGAGTTATGTCGGTTTTAAAAACGCTGCCTGGGTTAGGTTTTCAAAACGTAAGTGATATTTTCAGAATTTGGATTTCCTTGATTTAATGCATGCTTAAATGCTTAGGTGAGCTTACTTGGACTAAGTGATTTGTCGAATAGTCATTGATAGGGCTATTTTATTAAATGTAGGTGCTTGACGAGTCGAACTCGCCGCCTACACTCAATTAATGATTTGTCTCGATTCCGACCAGGTGGGTTGTTATTCTAAAATTACCTGTGCAATGTGTGTTTAAATATGTTTTTCTGATTTGGCGTGATCTATGTATGAACGTAAACATGTAGCCTATCGGTGTGAGCTATTATGATGGCCATCGGTACGGTTGTCCCCGTCGATGTAATACGGTTGCCCTTGCGAGGCAAGTCTCCTTAAGACCTATTATGAAAGGCCGTGTCCTTGCGTGGCACGTACTCTCGCCGTTAGGGTAATGAATCCCCTTTCCGCGACTATTATGAAAGATGTGTACACAGGAGTATTTATGTTTATGTTGGAGAGGTGACATATGTGATATTGTTTATGTTCATGCTGCAACCATGCCTATTTAACATATTATAAAATGTGCATTGCATAGTGTGAGTACGATAGTTAACTGTACTCACTCCCACCTGCTCGTAACTGATGCAGGTTAAGCAGTGGCGCGTGACGAGACAAGACGGGTGGTGGTCATTACT